CAACTACACTTCACGGCCTTTGCTGATGATGAAAGCTCGCAAATAAAAGAAGATTCCTTAAGAGAGCTAACTTTCAAAAATGACAAATTAATGTTAGATATGGAGAAGTGGTTCATGTGTTCTGGTGTTGAACAAAAAAAAAAAGAAGACAAAAACTATGTTACCTAGTACCTTTAGTATTGATGGTTTCGATGAAAATAATTTTGTAAATCATTTAGGAATGTATATTGACTAAAATCTTAAACTCAATGATGATTTAAATTTTTAGCTTTACAATTGAGAAGAAACTTATATTTATTAAGAAGCTTAAAATGTAATATATATATCTAATGTAATATCGTTTAATGTATATTATTCCTGCTTCCAAGTTTTATGACTTAAATATTAATGGTCTGGGGCCACTCTAGTCATTCTAAGGTTGTCGTCAAATTGCAACGAAAAGCCTTGAGAATCTTAGGATATGTAAATTTTAGAGATTGCTGCAAAGAATATTTGATAAGGTTTACAATTTTAACACTACCTTCTTTGTACATATGAGAGTGTATAATGTATAGCTTGAAATTCAGTAACACTCGTAAAACGGATAAAGATGTACATAGAGAAACTGTGAAAAATTAGTACATGATGATTTTTGATTTTAATAAAAACATATTTATTTAGAAATCGTGAGATGCGGTCTGGTGTGATGTAGGTTTCAGAAAAACATTTTCTTTATCGTGCCAACGTTTCGATCTTCTTTAAGATCATCTTCAGGGCNACGATAAAGAAAATGTTTTTCTGAAACCTACATCACACCAGACCGCATCTCACGATTTCTAAATAAATATCGATTAACGGTCACTAATCACCACACACTTTAATAAAAACGTTTGACAATTGAAAGCAGAAAAGGGTAAAAAAACTGGAAAATGTTTACCTTTTATCTAGATATTTTTCATTGTACTGTCATCCTATTGCAAACTATTTCCTAATTCAAAGTATAAAAATTGCAAAAAATGGTAAATGTTAAACATAATTAATGAAGAGCAATATATAGCAAGTATAGAAAACTATGCCTCTCCTTCAGGATCGATGAAAACGCTATCTCCTGTTCCTTCTTGCCTGCTTTATTCCCTATTGACTTCTAGCCGATTTAATACTGCGATTCCTCAACTCTCAATTTTTGTTTTAAAAATTTATATTTAATTTTATAAATACCTAGTGTAAGCTGTAAAAAAGCGAATAATTGTATTTTGTAAAAATTCCTTTTCACTCTGGTTTATATACAGTTGCATCGAGATGCAATTTCTTTCAAGAAAAATATTGTTTCAAGATTAAACCTAGTTACATGTGCGTGCGCTGTTTGACATTGCATCAACCCACTTCCATATACCTCGCATGATACATCACTTAAAAATCATTTTTGGAAGTGATTTAGGTCGTATTAACATCCCTGTACAATAGAAATGATAAATGATGGAGTGAGAGTGGTGTTCAATCCTTTTTAAAAAGATAGTTCCTACTCACAGTAAGTTGTTTTGCAACGATCAGGATNGTTGTAGAAGTCCTTCAACCTGATGATGAGCTAAAAGGCTCGAAATCCTGATCGTTGCAAAACAACTTACTGTGAGTAGGAACTATCTTTTTAAAAAGGATTCCCTGTACAATTTCCTGTTTTCATTTCAACACATGCACATAAATATAATTATTTTTTCAATACCGAACAAACGCATATCATCATACACTTGCAACTTGAGTAGGGGGAAGATAATATAAAATTTCCACTATCTATAAATTTGGAAGTTTTCATTTATAGATTCATCGACTCCATTAGAATTGACAAAAAATGGACATTTAGAATGTAATGGTCTAAAAAGTCACGTCTGAGGTTTAGGGGGATTTCACCTGCATCAACACGGAGGCTATTGATGAGGCTCGATTTAAAAGCACCTGTGGCGATACGGACACTGGTGTTCTGAACTGAGTCCAGCATCTGAAGCCTGTTTTTGGTCGATGAGTATACGCCCGTACACCCATAATCAAGGCGGGATCTCACTAAGCTTTTGTATAACCTTAGAAGACTTTTTCAGTCTACCCCCATGAGCACGAGTTAACCTTTTAAAAGAACAAGTTACTGAAAGCATTTCGCTTTCAAGTATTTCAGATGGGCAGTCCTGCGGGAGTCCTTTATGTGAGATCCTTGGGCCGATGATTGCACCATTTAAGTCAAAAAATATTTCCTTGTTTGCGATTAAGGCCATGATATTTTTAACAAATAATTCTGGAAGTCCAATATCTATAAGTTTCCTTCCCAAAATAATATATTCTACATTATTGTACGCTCCCTGAATATCTAGGAATAGTCCTTTTATTATTCAAGAGGGTCATATACATTTCACTTGTCAGTTTCATCTGGGCATCCACAATGGACCAAATTTTCCGAAATCCAAATTGACAAGCCGGTAATTTAACGTTATGCTCCAACCACCAGGTAAGTCTGTTTTTTATTAGCGTTTCATGAGATTTTTGAACATAAGACGTGAGTGCTGTCTTTCTGGCTTCCAAGAACCTAATAATTAACTTCATTAGATTTCGTGGTCCGATTGACCAAATATCATCTTTCAATTAATTAATCTTTATGTAAAGTATTGGTTGAGATAAAAAGTCAGTGTCACGCCCAGGATTCGAACCCACGACCTTCAATACGCCGCTGATCTACCACTTGAGCTATCGTGACTTCGATCCACTCGGACACTAACTTCCCATCTCAACCCAACCATTATTATCTTAATTAAAAGATGTTATTTGGTCAACCGGACCACGAAATCTAATGAATTTAATACGTTAAATGAAATATATCTTCACTAAAGCTCTCCGTGGCTATTTCATTGGTCGCCTTATAAAGATTATTTAAAAAACAATCTCCGATCCATTTTTACATTTATTACACGATTAAAGTTGTTTTATTCGGATTATGATTAATTAGTAGATTAAAAATTTGTCCTTATGGAAAGTTGAAAGTTGTAGGGTTTTTTGATACAACTGGGTTACATGGGTTTGTTACATTAATTATTTGAAAATGTAATTATCCGTGATGATACTTTGCAACAGTCGTTGGCCTTCACGAAGGTAAGAGCATTTTATAAATAATTAATCTAGCCCAGAGGCCGAAAGGAAAAGTTGCGTTTTTGTATTTAATGTTTCAATGCAAACTAGTTTTAAAATTCCTGCTGAATCCCAAACCCAAAAAGACGCCGTGCTTATATGCGATGCGGGTTTGTCGAACCTAATTAAAAAACGTAGGACTGGCGGAAATTCATTTTTAACCTAATTCCTTTTTTGGAAATTTTGTTGAGACAAAATGCAAAGGTACCCATAACACGGTTCCAAATTCACACGTAATGAAAATATTCTACTATGGAAATTATACTAAAAAAGGACAATTAAAATATTTAGTGCCAAGTTGTATGGACAAGACAAGTTAAGATATCTGGGGTTGAAGATAAAAAATGAAAAACTGGGAAACATCTTAATTACTCATATTAACTATGAGAATGACAGTTGGCAAATCAAATCTTTTTTTCCCGAAAATATCTTCGCACCTGATCTTTGTCCATAATTTACAAAATTCCGTATTCATTCGAAACTGACATACAAATGGGCTTTCTCTGTCTGTTTCCTAACGGGATTTCACTACACTCAGTCGAACATGTAAGTTTCTTGGGACTTCATCTGGACAAACAACTTGGAATACTCACATAAGACTAAAACTTATAGGAACACGTAGGAACTAAACATACGTAACAAACTGTCATTACCGCTACTCGACAGACGATCCAAACTTCCACTTAGCTATAAAAGATTGATAAACACCATTATCAGACCTATGCTGACTTACGTTATCGAACTCTGGGAGTCGATTAAGCCTTCCAAGTACCAACGAATTCAAAGATGCCATTCAAAAGTCCTATGAAAAATTGTTAACCCTCCTTTTTATGTTTCAAACGTCACTCTACACCGAGACCTTAATGTTCCCTTTCTTCCAGAAGTAGAGAAAACTTATTACAAAAAAACCCCATCAATCCCTTTCCACATATTCCATACCCTTGATCCATCAGCTCAGGTCCATTATGATCCCAGATAATCCTCCCCGTCGATTGTAAACGCCGATGCCCTACGAAGACTGTTGAAAAAGTTAAGTCAATAGGGGTATTCACGATGTTTGTAGGATGTTAACTCGAATAGAGAAATGTCCAAGATCGTGAACGCTCCCTTCTTTTCTTAGCATGTTAAATGTTAATGTTTCCGCAATGCTGCGAGTGGAGACTGGTAGAACCAAAAATAAAGCTGTAACAGTCCTTTACTGTTGTAAATGTTTTACAGATGAGTATTTTAGAGGAAAAGGTTAGCTAACCATGTTTATAAGGCTTTCCACTACTTTTATTACCACGGCTTTTATTATACTTGTCAAATTAAAGATGTGGTCAATAGTTCAATAAGCACTCCAAAAAACCAGCATGAAATTCAAGCAAAATAATTTTCAGTTCAACCCACTCCATCAACCTATCCAAAGTTATAGTCAATTACTTGCTTACATCACTAGAAACCCATAAAAACATGAGCCAAACCATGAGGTTATTTGGAATACTGAGAGTCAAAGGTACAAAGGGCTGATAGAGACAAATCAACCAAACCCTGTTGACGCAATTTTCGCCGTTGATACCCTTCAAGTGGACACTTTTGATTGGTACGTAAAGAACCACATCTACGAACGGTACGAAGATTTTTTTTGTTTAAATAATTTCCACTGCTTGCAATAGTGGGCCGGTTATTTTTTTATTTATAAGGATACCAGTTTAAGAATAAGCAAAGAAAAAAGAATTGGGCTTAGTAAGCAACCCTGGTGAACATCTCTTGTCACTCCTCTCACTGCAGCAGTTGAGTTTGTACAACAAATTGAACGTCACAAATTCTTAGATTTATAATTTAATTTATAATTTAATCTTACTGTTATTACTCACCGGAACTTTTGACGAGTCCCCTCTGGATATAGCGTAGATAATTCAGGAAATCACAAACGGAGATTATCTGAAAATAACATAAACCCAATTTATCATCAAAGGGCTACTGGGATTAAGGGAAATAATTTCAGCAGAAAACGAGAAATTAAATCTTGTACAACCTCGCTTAATTCTCTTGAGGGCCATTTAATTAGCAGCCTCAAATCGATTTAAACCGAGAAAAAAATATCACAGCAAATTATATATACAAGTGTGTATGCTATTTCATTTACATTCCGTTTATTTTTAATGGCATGCAGACATAACAACTGCAAATTAAATACAAAATTATAGTGACAATACGCTAAATGCGAAATCAACCGGTTAAAAGGGCTAATTTGTTTGAATTATTACATTGAAACTAAAAATTTACTATTTTATTTTCACTAATGGGACGTATGAAATTTATATTGCCAAATATCATGAAAAATACCATTATACGATTATATAATTATGCAAATTTAACAATTTAAAAACAATAATTTTCTATAAATTTTAAAAATACGTATTCTAATTATAACATATTTACTAGTTAATACCAGGAATGTATAATAGTAATTAAAATTTAATCGATAAGGGTGTTACTAGCAGATTATACAGATACCTTTTCCTTCATTTACGAAAGGTTTATACGTGTGCGATACTGAAACACAGCTACAACGTTTTTCACTGAAGATGGCGTAATGCCGAAACGCGTTTGAATAACTCAAACAAAAACCCGCGAGTGAAGACAGACCCAGTAGTGCCCGTGTGCCGGTTCAACATGAGTTCGCCAACTCGCAGACCAAACCCCATCATCTACTACAACGTTCAAGCAAACAGACAGGAATTATCACAAGGGTCAGCTTTGAGCCCGTTACTTGTAAACATTGCAAACCAGCTCCCACTTTAAAGCTATGGAAATTTCAGGTTCAGCGAGCCCGTACAAGTTGCAGTTTCAATTATTTACTTCGACAAAGAGATACAAGGTCTGTGGCTGTGATGCTCTACTGCACACTGATGAAGATACTAAGAAATCAACTCGGATACCAAGCTCGCCTAAGCATTTTGACAAGCAATCTTACAAAGAATATTACTGATACAAAGTGGAGCACTACACACGATTTCGGATGGCATACAAAGGAGGAAGAGGTGACTATTACTACCTTATCGATCACTATGTTACTGGATACTGTACAAAATCTCTCGACATATTCGACTGATAAGTGACCCTATCAGTCTGAGTAGAGAAAGCTCGGTTCAAGCCTTCTTAGGGTCATTCGACTTGTCTTTTCTTATGGAGAGTTTATAATCTACCTAATGAGAAACTGAAAACACAGGCAGTACTTGAATCTGAGGCTTTACGAGTTATGATGAGATCATTGTAACAGGATATGTCTGGAGCTGGTTAAGCTACTGACTAAGAAAAACACTTAAAACCACCAAGCAAAAGCGAGGTTCCATGGCTCTGCAGTTGAAACCAATGATTAGGGTACAGGGGACCAATTTGATGGAGAGGTGAAGGAGGTTGCGTTGGCCTCGGAAAGGTTGCAGACCAAGGTGGTGCTCATTTTCAAGCTGCGATTCAAAGGAATGAATGGAATCTCGATTTTACCTGTGAAAATGTGCTTACATGCCGAATATTATTAATCAAACAACAAGCCATGACACTGTTGCTCTCCAGTGAGTTCCTGGATGAATGGTAAGGCGCAGAGTGATGTCTATAAGTGTTTGGCTGAACCTCACACTTCCAGTCCGTACGTTCACCTTTTATTTGTGAAAAGCAAATTAAACATGTATCAAGAGGTCGTGAAAGACCGTTATCATGTCATAACTTCTTGACGATTGTCGATGTACCTAGTTACCTTGTCCGCAATTGATATTATTTAGGTAAACTTGAAAAGGTTATGGGTGGATTTTTCTCTGATTAATTTTATTCTTTTCTTTTTCACACAAAGACTCAAGCAGTTTGACGTTGAAGGTTTAGAGTGGAAACGGATCAGAGTTGTAAGAGTCAACACGACACGCAAGAATGATACAATTACGCAGAAAACAGATTGAGCCCTGAAGATGATCTCAATAAAAATCGAAACGTTGGCACGATAAAGAAAATGTTTTTCTAAAATCTACGTCACACCAGACAGCATCTTACGATCTCCGAATAATCGTTGTATGAGAGGATCATCGTCTGCGAAAGTAAGGATAGTGATTTGAGGTGGGTTGTCAGCTGTGTACACCCGGTGAAGTGTGAAAGCTAGTACGCTACCCTCAGGAATATCAGCATGGATAGGATAATACGCAGAGAGGGAATTGCCTCCAAGCCCTCGGAAAAACCGGTCAGCGAACTGAGACGTTTGAGAAGTATGTGGAGGGAAAACCTTGATTTGATCAAAAGCTTGGCTAATGTCAAGAAAGACCCAGGAGAGTACTGCCCCAATTAAAGCAGGAGAAGAAGATAAGGCCTGTTGGAAAGTTGAGTGCCAGTTGTGAAAACCAGATGATTTTGTGAATTTAGAATATGTATATTAAATTTAGCTTCATACGCAATAATTTCTTTTGGTCCCATTTTTGCTTTTTCACTGCTTTTTTGTTTATCCTCTTCACTCAAAATCAGAGAAATCATCCACATACCTATTCAGTTCTGTTATGATCACTGAAAGGCCATACTACTTTGCAATACCTTTTCCATACTATTCTCAATAAAAAAAAAGTCATGGGGTGTGCCCGGATTCGAACCCAGAACCGCCAGCTGGCAAATAAGAATCGTACACCCTAACCTCTCAGCTAGGCTTTTAATAACTTTCCCTCCACCCAATTTTCCTAACTGATATTTTATTTAGAATTAAAAAATCGTGGCTTCTCAATTCAAACTGGTGCAAGGGTACGCGAAATAACACTAGCAAGCTTTCATTTCACTACTAGCATGTACTAATCCACTGGCGGTCAATTATTAATAGTTTATTTCGGCAAGCTCTGACCAGCATAGTGCCTGAAAATAGGTGTGGTTGATTCCTCTGATTTTGAATGAAGAGGATAAAGCACGTTTCACGCTACTAAAACAACCTACAACAATTTGAACAAATTAGCACTAATTTTCTCAGAGAAGGAACTCAATTCTCCTTTTATGTTTGAATTGGTGTGTTAATCGAGATTCTGATTATTTAAAAAAAATGTTAATAAATTTTGATTTCTATCCTTAAAAACTGAAATCTATTATTAATAATTTATTAAATTTAACATGGCAAAATAAGTAGCTTTAATAATGATCGTATTAACAAATATTAAGGTTCTCGTTGTAGAAATATTATTTATGCAAAGTTCATCCGAAAAGCTCTTTTCTAAGCCTGCCATTTTACCGTTGCACGTAAACTGAAACTTATTTAACAACTCAGTTGTTCATAAGGTGAATTTACTTGTTCATCCCGACCCAGGAACTTCTCGGACTTTTGAACGTACAGCTGAAGTTTATTCAAGTTAATAATCTTCTGTTCCTGAGGGTGGATATTGTACGCCCATTAATAAGTTCGACTACCCTTCAGTCGTTCCCTAAGGATCTTTGTACTATGCAAAATCATGCTTCACGTGAATGCCTCTATGGTGTGGAAAGACTGATGAAAACTCCCTTGATGATGATTTTTTGTCTTCATTTTATCAGTGTTCAATTTGCACAAAAAATGTTGCATTTTGCAATACAAGTCTATCATCTATCTTATCATAATACAAGTAGTAGAATATATATATATATATATATATATACACATACGTGTATATATATTTATGTGTGTTGTGTTGTGTGTGTGTGTGTGTGTGTGTGTGATAATTCGTACTGCCCTGGTCCTAGGCTGGCTAGCTCAGAAGGATAGCTATGACGTCTCTTCTTCGAGGATAGCCTTCCCCTTTGGATCATACTTATTCCCTAACATATAACAAAAAAAAAATGGAGGACCGTTGTGTGTGGCCGAAGTTTAGAGGTAAGAGCGTCCGGCTCGTCACCCCATGTAATTTTATTTGAAAGTAATAGAACTATAGAAGTCCTCTGGGAACGGGGAGTACATCAGGGCAGCGTACTTGTACTGATAATGAACCTCCCCTACACCACAAATATCCTAACTTCATCTTCCACCATCCTTGCATCCTTTGCGGACGACACACTCTGCTATCCTCAGATCCCGATCCCACAATTGCTTCGGAGGTGGAGGAGGTCTTGCATTGGCGTATAAAGCATAATTACACCAAAATCACTCAAGTATCACTCACCCCTCGACAGATACAAACACATTCTGCGTTCGCTACCTTGGGATCCACCTAGAATCAAGGCTAACCTAGAACTACCACGCACGACTAAAACGACAGGAATTAAAGAAACGATCGGACTACTCTACAATCTACTGTCAGGCAAATTTAACGTTTCAACAAAAAACAAACTGACAATCTATAACACAATACTAAAACCAATCTGGACGTACGGATTAGAACTGTGGGGCACAGCTAAACCTTCTAACGTACAAAGAATACGGTCTTCCTGTCCTCAGAACCATAGTCAATGGTCCTTAATACGTCTCCAACATCCATGTGAAGAGGAAATGACCTCGCGGCCTACTAAACGAAGATTAGTTTTCGCGTGCAGTTGGGCGAACAACAGTGGTTGTTAACTCACCTCATGTCATATGACATTTTAAAACCAGGTCATTACAAAATGTAAATAACGTTACAGATTATAATAAATACATCAAATTAAAAAATAGTGCTATAGCTTATAGTGGTTGAACGTACGTTTAAAAAAAGCATATAAACTTTAATAGGCTTGTTATCGACATGGTTTTAAAGGTGGCGGCCAACCAACTGGAACAGGAATCACTTAACATGTCTTCGAAGATAAGAAAAAAAATATAAAGTGCTCGCCTTATATTTATTTAAGGTTAAAACTTCTATTTTTTTCACTTAAGTTTCATTTTTACAAAGAAATATCAAACAAATTAAACGCTTTAATAGATATGCTTATCACTACCGTCTGTGTGATTGTTTTTTAATCACAAAAATGGTGATTAATTTGAACAGACTCCACCGATTCACAAGAAACTTTACACCGCTTTAAAAACCTATAAACTACACATAATGGCGCAAACTTAAGACATCTCGAAAAAATTAGAACCGGAGAAAAAAAAATTGAGTGATATTTATTATTCTTGCTTTTCTCGCATGGTTTTATATTAAAACAAAAGGTTGTTGATACATACTCAAAGAAGAAAAATGCAGCTTTATGATATCTTTGACCCTGGATAAAATCCAGAGCAGTTAATAATTTTTATATTGATATCTTCGCAAAAAAATGCCTTCGGTTGATCCAGCCCAAAAATTTCTTATTTTTGTTTTGTATGTATAAAAATTCGCATTCAAGAGCTTTAATGGGTGTTAAGTGCTAACTCAAATTGTTTTTTTTTCAATAATAATTCAATAACTTTTTTTGCTTAATTTACAATAAACTTATTTTGGTTTTTTATACCTTTCTATATATGATTTATTATCATCCTAGGTCATATATCTACTGATATTGGGTTGGCGCAAAATTAATGCAACTTTTAAAAATTTGTTTTATTTTCGCAACTGCTTGTCATGTAAACAAAGCTAAATCCTCAAATCTAATATATACATTATAATAAATACTTTTAACTGTTATCTTTTATCCAAAACATTTTAGTTTATATTGAATTTAATAAGAGTGAGGACCTGCGAAATGAAATATGTCCAAACTAGATTTCCGTCAAATTTTTTAAATCGAAAGCGGGGTTCGAATCCCGCTCGTGGCACTGACTTCTTTATCTCAACCAATACCTTACATAAAAATTAAAATAAAAGTTGTTGATAGCTCAAAGTAGAAAAATGCAGCTTTATAATATCACTTTACGATATCAAGTTATAATATCTTTTACATTGGATAAAATCCAGAAGAGTTATAAATTTTTACAAGGACATCTTGGCCAAAAATGCTTCCAATTAATCCAGGCCAAAATTGTCTATATTTTGTTTGGTACATATAAAAATTCGTCACAGAAGAAACATTCTGCATATTTTACCGATACTATGGCGTGAATGTAGGTTTTGTCTGCAAGGCACAAAAGAAAAGCTAGCCATGTTATGGAGCCTGATTAAAAGCCTAAAGCCAGGAACACACTTACCCGATGCTACCGCCATGCGACGCTACCCGATGCTACCCGAAGCTTTGCCACGTTTTGGTGGGGTGTGCACATCTATCCGACGCAAGCACAAGTCGCGTACAGTCCACAGCGTTTATCACAATAATCACTATCACAATCGCAACGCATCTTTTGTTCTTAATACACTATTTTGCGCAAAACCTTGTAATAAATTGTTAGTTAAATTTTATGAGCTCAGCCATCTAATAAATTGTTTGTAAAACTTAATTGTTTTAAATAAAGTTACTCCTAACCATCATAATTAAACAATGTTTATAAAAACTTATGCTTTTAACTTAAACTTTTTGATCTTACAGAATCTTCACGTACCGTGTTGTGTTATACTAATTTTCTTCAGGTGCCCATACAGTCTGCATTGTCCATTTAAAGTACTGTTAGAAAAGAT